CCTGTGACAACTTTATAGATGATGGGGTGACTGTGGCCATGTGGCTTTGTTTCCTGATCCTCTGTTCTATTCCATTGGTCTGTATTTCTGGTTTTATGTCAGCACTGTGCTGTTTTTTTGTTACTCTGGCTCTATGGTATAGTTTGAAATCAAGTCTGAAGATATCCCCACTATTATTTTTTTTTGCTTAGGATTGCTTTGGCTTGTGAGTATGCTTCTATATGAACTTTAAGAGTGTTTTTTTCTACTGCTGTGAAGAAAGGATGTCACTGGAACCTTGATGAGGATCATGTTGAATCTGTAGATGTCCCTTGATAATATAGCCATTTTTTTCAATGTTTTAAAGCTTGCATTATAGAATTCTTTCACCTCCTTGGTTGGGTTCATTTCTAGGTATTTTATTTCTTTGGGGCTACTGTGAATGGGATTCTTTTTCTATTTCTTTCTCAGCATGTTCAGTACACTTCATTGTTTTTGCAGTGCTAGCAAGCAAGCCCAGGTCCTGTGCTTATTAACTAAGCATTCTACCACCGAGCTCCACCCCATGCCTGACAGTTATCTTTTAAACTGTATCATCTGCCTTCCCAGAACTGTTATCTGAAACTCACTTGCCCCTAGGATCACAAAGACAGCTCTACCCGGTAATCAGTATTTACTCAGGAGACTTTAGGGTCAATTCCTGATTTATGTGTCTTATTCTAGAACTTTATTTTTCTTTGTCTCTGTTTCTTTTTGGATTTTTGAGAAGGGGGTCTCATTTAGCTCAGGCTGCTCTCCAACTTGCTATGTTAGTTAAGAATAGCCTTGAGCCGGGCGGTGGTGGCGCACGCCTTTAATCCCAGCACTCAGGAGGCAGAGGCAGGCGGACCTCTGTGAGTTCGAGGTCGGCCTGGGCTACCAAGTGAGTTCCAGGAAAGGCACAAAGCTACACAGAGAAACCCTGTCTCGAAAAACCAAAAAAAAAAAAAAAAAGAATAGCCTTGAACTTCTGATGGTCTGTGCCTCCATCTCCTGAGTGCTGGGATTACAGGTGTGCGTCACCTGTTAATGCAGTAGTAGGTTGCTTTCTGCAGCAGTCGTCAAACACCATCAAAAAGCAACCTGGGGAAGAAACGGTTTATCTGGTTTATAGGTCACAGTCCAACATTGAGGGAAGCCAAGGCAGGAGCTCAAGGGGGAAACCTGGAGGCAGGAACCGAAGCAGAGGCCACAAAGGAACACTTGTTTGCTCAGCCTGCTTTCTACAACCCAGGACTAGCTGCCCAGGAGTGATACTGCCCACCGTGGACTACCAAAATGAGCCATCACTGCTTTGTTTCCTGTTAGGTGAGCAATCTACCAACTGAGCCACATCCTCAACCCACGGTTCAGAGAATTCTAAGGGTGCTCATTGTTGAGAGGAAGCACGATTCCTTCCTCCTTCCTGTAACATGGTAAGATCATTCCAGAAGTGTTAGGTCACCCTGTACTACCCGATCCATGTCCCCAGGCTCTTCCCAGGAAGAATGCCTGTCATGGAGAGTGAGATGCAGGACTGAACAACACCGTGGTCTGAGCATGCCCCTGCTATCACCTCCCGAGAGGCCCCTACCTGCCCCCATTTGGGGCCACTCAATGTTGGCTGTTCTTTGTCCTGCTTCATCCTTCCTCAGATCCTACGGAGGACTTCCTGTGATCCCTGGCCAATTGCTTTGCCTCTCTGGGATCTGTTCTCCAGAACTATCTCTTTCCATCTGCTGCAACTACCAGGGTGTCCTCTGGGATGGTCCCAAGGAAGACTTAGTGATGAGAATTGCCTATGCTAGACCTGAGTTCTAGACAAACTGCTACATCTGCAGAGTGAGACCTGACCTAGACAGCAGTACTTGGGGCCCAGCTTCCCACTGGCAATACCAACTCCTCTTTCTAACTAAGGCTTCATGGGCTCTGGCATGAAAAGGGCAGCCGGATTGGCCTGTCCTCCTACACTCCTTCCCTTCTTTGAAGTTTGTTGAGAGCACTTACTGTGTGCTGACATTGTAGGACATGACCACTGCACTCTTCCATGGGTGAGCAAATTATATGTCTTCTGCATGGGGCAGATACATCTTCAGGTGATGGCCTTGGGGACTCTGGTCACACGGAAGGCTCTTAGGTACTGAGGAGGCGAGGCCTAAGGAGGCTTAGGTGAGGACTACAGAGAAGAGTCACTATTCTTCTTGGGTCTTGAGCAGTGACTAAAGGTGGAATACTGCCTGGGATCAGCCTCTGCATCCTCATCTCCAAGTGGAGGGAACCTTGGATACAGTTTTATTGAACACTGAAAGCAGAGGCTGTATCTAGGGCCCTGGGTTGATGGTTTTTGCAGGGTGTCCTCATGGCCTTGGCTTGTGAGCCTTAGGAAATCAGGTCATGCAGTGGGAAGTGCTCAGGATCAGGGAGACAGAGACTCGGAAATGTCCAGTGACCTGAATAAGGGCACAAAGAGAGTCCCTGGCTTCCAAATGCTATACAGGGGACTCCTTGGTTCTGTATGCTGGAATTCCAGGACCTTTTAGTCACACTAGTTGGAGATTCCTTGCAAAGAGGTTAATGGCTTTATCCAGTAGTTTCATAGCTATGGACTCTGAAGACCAAGGGCTGGCATAGGGAGTGAGTTCTTCATCATCGGAGGTATATAAACAGGGCTGTGTGAAAATACCTTCAGGAGTTAGAAAGCACATGGTGCCCAGTCAGACACAGGCTCTCCCTGATCAGTCTCAGCCTGGATTGGGCCCCAGGTTTGTGGGTAGGGTCATAATTCTTCACATACACCTGTGAGTGTGTGTGAGCAGCAGCTGTAGGTATGGCCAAGGTCTCTCTCTGAAGCCCAGGCTGGCCTCAAACTTGCAGTGATCTTCCTGTCTCTGCCTTCTGAGTGCTAGGGTTATAGGCATGCACCACTATGCTTTTACTGCGTGTTGTAAATGACTGGTTGCATTCATTGCTAGTCACTGAGCAGGTACATGCCACAGGCTTTCCCTATGTTCTTTTGGAAGCAGGAGACAGGCAGACTAGTGAGCATTGACCCTGGCGTGTGCTGAGCTCCTTCTACCATGATTTCTCTTGCATAGTCCTTGCATATACCTTCTATGCACAGGCCAGGACCCAGAGGGCCTTTGCTGGATAAACCCAGTCCAGGAGGAATTGGCCAGTCCATTCTGCAGGCTCAGGTTAGGGGAGGCAATGCTGGGGTCTTTAGCCTTAGGGAAGGCTCCTTAGGGAAGATGCAAAGGCCCTCATCCACCCTCTGCACCAGCCTGGCAGGTGAAGCTTGGGTCTCCATCTCCAGGGACACAGACCTGCAGAGCTTGCACCTGCCGCTCTGCTTCCACTTGGGTTGAGTGGGCTTTGTGTTCATGCCTGACTCCCAAGGTAGATGAGAAATGAGATAATATAAATTAACAGGCATCTGCCAAATGCCTAGCCTAGTGCCAAGCACATGATTTAACCAGTGGGTCTCTGGGGTATACGTGTGGAGTCCTGACTTTAGATGGCTCTCAGTTTTCATAGTGTAAGTAGTCCCAGTATTCCCCATTTCAGGAGACAGTGTGCCACCACCCAACTCAGCTAAGAAGAGATTGAACATAAGCCTTTCTAAGTTACTGGATTCGGCACCCACTGCCAGCCCCCAGCAGGGCCCAGGACATCCTGCCACGGGGGTAACAGTATTGTCAACATTTGCTTCCTTCTAATGGCGAAGGCTGGCGTGGCCTCTGTTGACTTTTATGTCACATGAGCGGTTGGTGTCAAAGGTTCCAGGGCCAGCAGCTTTTGGGCGTCCCCTCGTATTTGTAACATGCATCTCTGACTGGGTACCACACCAGCAGGGTGAGGACAGAGGTCGGAACTTTCTGGTGTCTTCCTTTGTACTGGCTTCCTCAGGTGAAGTGGGCCCAATGACTGCGCATCACGGGAGAGTGGGCGCAGGTGAGCCGTGGGTTCAAGCAGGCAGAGGGCATGGGCTCAGAAATCAGGTTATTTCTGAGTACAGGGCCCCTACAGTCATGTTTAGAAGTGCCCAGGAGAGAGGCTTGTCCCTGGGAATTGAGTTAGCTCAGGGGGCTGAGAAAGAAGCAGTGTACTCCTCGGGAGAGGCGGCAACCAGCGAGGTGAGTCAAGGGGTTTCTGGAAACCTCTTCAAGTCTCCATCTGAGGCATCTCAGGACGGACTCCGGATCTCTGAGATTTAGGACAGAGAAGTCCTTTCTATTTTTATCTATCTATCTGTCTGTCTATCGTCTATCTTTGAGACAGGTCCTTTGTTGCTCAAGGTGGTGCAACTCCCTGATCAAGTATCCTCCTGCCTCCTTTTCCTGGTGTTGGGATTATAGGCTTGGGTCACCACGCTGGTCAGGGCAGAGAACTTCTGTCTTTGGGATCTGGATTTGCTTAATCGAAAAAAAAATGGACACAGTGCTTACTGGCACCAGCCTCCGTGAGTGATACTTGAGGCTCTCCCATATTCTGGAAGTACAGAAAGGCCAGGAAGACACTCCAGTTTTGTGACCGTACTTAGCAGAGGCTTGGTACCTGAGAGTAGGGTACTCTGGAGCCTGGCTGCTCAGTCCTGGTTCTGTTCCAGGGTTCGGCGCTCTAAGTCACAGTGCCTGTGGCCTGACACCTTCGGAGAGAATAGGGCCCCTCAAGGCCCACAGTCCTGCGGACCATTTCCAAAGATCTCCAGGGCCAGGCGCCTGCCTGGGGCGGGAGCCGCAGGTGGAGGCCATGGGGAGCATCCCGCAGGTGGCGGCGCACAGCCGCAGCCAGGTGGGCGTGTCAGGCCCCGCCCCGCGCGCTGGTCTTGGGGAGGGTGGGACGAACGGAAGCCCCGCCCTCCCCGCGCTCTTGGTCGGAGCCGGTGCGGGAGCGGAGGCGCGCGGAGCCGGCAGGAGCACGCGGGAGCGCGGCCCCGCAGCGGCCCGGCCCGAGGGAGCAGCACGCAGGAGCAGAGCGGCCTGGCGACCCCCGCCCTAGCGAGGACCCCGCCCCAGCGCAACGCGGCCTCGAGAGCGGACTCCGGCCCCGGAGCGCGGCCTCGCCCGCCTCGCTCGCCCGGATCCCCGGGCTGCGGGCATGGACAGCGCCCGCTCGCCCTGTGAGTATCGAGCCCTCCCGCCCGCCGCCTTTGTGTGCGCGCTGCGCCGCCGCAGCCCCCTCCCCGCGCGCCCCGGGCCCGCGTCCTTTGTGGAGTCGGCTCTTATCCGGTGCTTTCCCCCGCCCCGGGCCTCCCTGTCCCCTCCGCAGCGGCCCGCGGGACACCTCTGCAGGGTCGCTCCCAGGCTGGCCTTGACCCCTTTCTCCAGCCTCCGTAGCCCTTCTGTAGCTCCTGTGGGCCCTCAGGGACACCTAGCAGGTCGTCCCCCTTGGAGTCCCCGGGATAGCTCGGAACAGGCCATGTTCGCGGCTCGAGGCTGAGAAGAGCAGGGCATCCCTTTGCCATCCTCGCCTCGGGGTCCCGTCTGCAGCCCCTCTCCTCGGAGCCCACGGGGGACCGCCCGGCAGGCCACTTCTGCGGCGGGGCTGGGCAGGGCGCAAGCCCAGGGGCGGCGCTGTCTCATCCCGGGGCCCAGGCAGGTGCGGCGGGGCTGGCGCTCACGCGGGGCCCGTGTGTCCTTGGCCCGCAGAGATGGACGGCGATGGCGGCCGCCGAGACGCCCCCGGCGCGCTGATGGAGGCCGGGCGCGGCACGGGGTCGGCCGGCATGGCGGAGCCGCGGGCGAGGGCGGCGCGGCTCGGGCCCCAGCGCTTCCTGCGGCGCAGCGTGGTGGAGTCGGACCAGGAGGAGCCGCCGGGCCTGGAGGCGGCCGAGACGCCGAGCGCGCAGCCCCCACAGCCCCTGCAGCGCCGGGTGCTTCTACTCTGCAAGACGCGCCGCCTCATCGCGGAGCGCGCCCGGGGCCGCCCCGCCGCCGCCGCCGCCGCCGCCGCCGCCGCGCCCGCGCCTGCCGCACCCGCAGCGCCTCCCGGCTCTCCGGGTGCCCCCTCGGACCCCGGTCCGGAGCGAGCTGGCACGCAGGAGCCCAGCCCAGATCCCACCACCGCCTCAGCCGCAGCCGAGCCGCTCCCCGACGGCGGCCCGCGGCAGGAGGAGGCGCCAGCCCCAACACCGGAGGACGCTGGAGCCAGCGAGGCGAAGCCCGAGCCCGGGCGCGCACGCAAGGATGAGCCTGAGGTGGAGGAGGACGATGAGGACGACCTCAAGGCCGTGGCCACCTCCCTGGACGGCCGCTTTCTCAAGTTCGACATCGAGCTGGGCCGAGGCTCCTTCAAGACGGTCTACAAGGGGCTGGACACGGAGACCTGGGTGGAGGTGGCATGGTGTGAACTGCAGGTGAGGGTCGGTGCCCACAGGTGGGCTGTCAGCAAATGCGTCCTTGGGTGTGTCCTTGCTCTTGCGCAGGGCTTTAGGCAGCCCTGGGGATGGTGGTGGCTGGGATGTGTCACCCTCTGTGTGGGTGTCCCGCAGGACGTGTGCCGTGTGTATGGATACCCTGTCGGTGCTGTTCCTGGATCTGTGCACAGGTTGAGGCTTGTTATCTTGGAGGTCAAGGCTGGGTATGTGCTGTGCCCAGTTGTGCCCACGGTGACAAAGGCACCGGAGTGGGCAGTGTCTGTCAGCCCCTGCTCCTTGTCGGTCCTCAGAACCCACTTATGAGAGAGAAGAATGTGTCTGAGCCCTTTTCTAGGTGGCTTGGAAGCTCCCAGCTGTCCTCAAATTAGCATCTTCCTGTGCCCTGTGAGATGTAGGTGTGATAGCTGCAGATGCCTGCAAGGGCTTCCTCTGACTCAGGAGTGGTGGTGCTTCGTGGGCCCTCGGGGCCCTGCTTGCCAAGGCCTGGAAGCCCTGTCGGCAGCCTCCTTGTGTTCTAAGAGCCCGGTTTGTTCACGAATTAGGTGTGTGAGTGAAAACCATGAAAAATGCCTGTCTTTTCTCTCTCTCCTTCCCCCTCCCCCTCGTCCCCACCCCCCTTTATTCCTTCCGTCTCTATCTCTGTTTCTGCTTCTCTTTTCCCTTTCATTTTGGAAGCAGAGGCTCAGCATGCATTTTTCATAGCCTTGCCCTCACGTTCGCTGTGTCAGCCCTGGCCCTGAAGATTATATAAACCGCAACCCTAGCCGTCCTGGGGCCAGCCTTGGAAGAGGAGGCAGCTCCTGTCACCGGGGTGCTTACAGGCCCTCCCTTGCTGGGAGGGAGGGGCAGCTGTCAGGCAGGGGCCAACTGGGAGAGTGCTGGCTGGAGGTGTAAGCCTACCCCATCGGCCTGTAAAGTTAGCTGGCCTTCCAGAGCTGATGCATCCTGGGCGAGCCTGGGTGAACTGGGTGCCAGGGCTCCCATCTACTGCGGGATGCCTGCACTTTGGGCCCAGAAATGGGATTCAGATGCTGTGTTCTCTGCACCTCCCGGGTGCTCTGCATGTGTGTACCAGCTGGGCTCATTTCTGAGGTGTTGACCTGTCATCAGCCCTGAGACAAAGAGCTACAAAGGTCTTGTCTCCTCACTGCCCTTTGGTTCTGTCATGAAAATGTGGCTTTGCATGAGAGGGTCAGTGGTGTCTTTTGGGGACTTTCAACAGGAGTTGACTTTCTTTCTCCCTCATGGTTCCTATGAGAATTACCTCTGTCTTTTGCCTGGCATGTCCTAGACCTTGCAGAGAGGCAGCCTTGATGGTGCAGAATGGGTGTGGATGGCGAAGAGCAAGGTTTCTGGCCCAGGATCCTGGAGTGTGCCCAGTGCCCCTGCTACCTGAAGAGGCACAGAGGAGAGAGGATCTGGGAAGGGGAGATGATTCTCCATTCTGGGGAATGGCACGATTCTTGGCTCCCCACTTTCCTGCTCTTGCCAGATGACCAGTGTGGCTCTCTGAGCACCTGCTGGTACTGCTACTATGGAATGTCACTGAGGGTAGAGGACAGAGCAGGGGTGCTACAGCAGGCTGGATGTGAGATAGACTTCCGTAGTTTTCAAGCCTGTCTATCTGGCTGAGGCATTGCAGAGGCCTGGGACTCTTATTAATTCCCCTTCCCTTTAAGGCAAGACAAGTCAGTCTGACCTTGTTGTGGGCGGGGCAGCAGAGGGTGGGACCTGGCACGTGGCCAGGGGTCTTTGGATACTTGGCTCTAGGTAAAAATGGGGTAGCTTCTGGACTTTAGTGCTGTTTCTTGCTTGGGGAGACTGGAACCCCCCAGTAGGTAGAGAAACTGTCCTCACACCTCCTTCATTGAAAGGTTCTGCTGTTCATGTTTGGCTCAGGCTGCAATGCATTACATGGGGTTACCTTCCTCTATCTGGTCCACCCTGGGAAGGTTCACGTGACAGGGGCCTGGACCAGCTTAGAGCCCTCTGGGTGAGTGCCTCCTCATCATAAGTCATATTGATGATGGGATCATTGAGTGACTGCTTGATACCAACCAGGAGGTGGCTGGATGTCACAGGATCTGGGAGGATGGCAGAAGCCTGACTGGGTCCTGGGAGAAGCCCACCCAGAGGCCCCTATGTGGTGTCCTGAGCTGAGGATATAGTGAGGCAGTAGGGATTCTATAGATACCCAGATCAGGGCACAGGCTAGGAGAGGGGAACCAGAGTCCTTGTCCTGGGTAGGGGTGTGATCCCCATCCATTGTATGCAGAGGGCCCCAGCAGGGTATGGGCTATAGATTTCCTGGCTTTGAATCCAAGAGGGAGCCTTGTTTATCCACCATGACTGGGTTCCCTCGAACTTCTGCAGTCTCCAGTGTTTCCAACTGTTGGGGAGGGTTCCTGGATTCTGGATGGCATGGTGAAGGGAGGGTCTGTCAGGACTTGGTTTTCCTCTGGGGGAAGTTAGCCTCCACTGCCCTCCCTGGACACCCAGAGAGTTTTGGTCTGTTTACTCAGGTGCCTGTTGAGTGGCTCCTTCCTTTTCTCACCCTCGGTGGTGGGCCTGGTGTGGCCTCCACAGTGGTAAACTGCTTGAAGTCTCTTTCCAGGGTTCTGTGCCAAGGGGCAGAATCAACACAGTCACAGGCCTTGTGAGCAGCTTAGAGGACACTGGGTTCCCTTTAGTGACTTGTGTTGAAAGGGTTTGACAGGGAGAGCGGTATGTGCTGGTTCCACATCAAGGGCAGGAAGATGGCCCACCTTCTCAATTGTAGCCATGCCCAGCTGGAGCTTGGATTATTATTATTTTTTTAACTGGGGGTGAGGGGGGGTATTTAAAAATACTTCATCCTGTCCTCTGTCCTTTGAACGCACTGTTAACTCCTGCTAGCAGAGCTCCGTACAGTGGCAACAGAGGAAGCAAAAGCGTGCCCAGAATCCTCCGTCCTCATCCTTTCTCCCTGCTTTCAGGGGACTCACTGTCCCCCGCTCTGTGCCTGTCTGCCACAGAAGTTCTGCTGCATGCTGCTGTTGCAGGGAGGGGACTGTCTCCAAGGCGGGGCCCTCAGCCAGGGATGAGTCCATCCAAGAGGTGGAGGTGCTCAGTCCTTGATCCTCCGCAAGCCCAGCTTGCCCCTAGCAGAATGGTATGAGGCCTAAGGAGGAAGTGTGGTGGGTGGAGGCTTCATGTCTCAGCCCTGCCTAAGCCTTGTTTGCTAAGCACGGAGGAGACAGCCTCAGGGTCCTCCCGTCACTAAGTGGGTCCTGCTGCTGTGTTGTGGGCGCAGTGATCTTCCCACCTCATGCTCTAGCCAGATGTACAGTGCCCCGCCAGTGCTGGGAGCAGGTGTCACCCAAGGGGTCATCCTGTGTGACTTGTGCCTTGGAAGGCAACTCAAGCGCCCCTGAGACTTTTCAGAGGGTCCTCTCTGCCTTCGTGGCATCTCGGTGAGGTGGACGTCCCAGGCCCAGGGCTGGGAGAGCCCCCGGAGTCAGGCTGTGATCACCTTGTGCAGAAAGCCTGGCTGCTACCTTACTGCTCTCATCCCTGGCCCTGTGGTGTGGGGACAGGAGGCAGTGAGCCACTGTCCCAGCAGGCAATGGTGCTTGTGGGGAGAGGACACTCTGAGACAGCGTGGCCTGATTTGGCTGGCGGTCACCTGGCCTTCTTCCTCTTTTTGTTTTTTAATCCCCTGAGTGCCTAATTTCGTTCAAAGAGCTATAATTGACAACTGGTCCGTGTTAGCGCTGAGCTCTCCTCCTCCATGCATGCTGACCACAGTCTTGGTTTGCTTGGTGGGAAAGGTTGGCTCCGGCTGCCTGAGTGGCCTGTGGGTATGGCTTTCCCATCAGGTGTAGGAATGTGGGCACCCGCACTTGGGCCCCTCCCCCCATCCTCACTCCTGAGTGGTGTCGTGAGGTGTGTGTGGTGAGCCATGTGGTCGGCTACGGTGAGTAGCTGTCCAGGCTGCGGCTATCACTCCTGGAGTGTGGGGAGGCCAGGCACCCGTAGAGGCAGGTGCTTCTACATACAGATGAATGTGAGCCTGAGGGGTGTTCTCACAGGCCCAGGGCTTTGGAGGTGCCCAGCTGAGTCTGATTTAAGGCCAGATCTCCATGTGACTGAGGCACGACGGCCGTTTCTTTTCCCAGTCCCCATTGAGGACCCGTCTCACACATGAGGGGAAAGTGACACAGGCGGTTTGTTTGACCTGCTGTCCTTGAGCTGGTGTTTCTACAGCTCTGGTTCCCCGGATGCCTGTGAGGCAGCTAGATCTACTTCCCATGGCGTTGGCCTGGAACTTTCTGTGAAGATAGCCACATCTCTCTCCATGTTCTATCTGCATGAGCCCTGCAGGACATTTGCTGAGCACTCGCACCCTGGATTTTCCTCATGTTAAACATGGGCAGGGTGTCCAGAGCGTAAGACTGAGGCCCAGGTAACTTAAGGGTAGTTACTGGGGTAGCAGACAGGCCAGATGGGGACTTGGGGAGGGGGCACCGAGGGCTGGAGGAGTTCAAGGTACGTGAGATTGGCTGGGCCCTGGACTGGAGACAGCCAGAGCCTGGGTGGGGGTGTGCTGGTGGTGAAGGATCAGGCTGGTGGCTTCAGGGTCGAGAGACATCTTAGGCAAGGATGACTCCTGAGTACTTGGCTGGGTGAGGACTGGGCAGGCTTTGAATGTCCATGTTTCTAGGGTGCCAGGTAGGGCAGAGCTCTGAGGATGAGTTGCTACCCAGAAGGTAGTATCAAGAAAAGGGAAGGTGATGATCAAGAACAGTGGTTCTCAGCCTGTGGGTTGTGATCCCCGTCACACAACAGATATTTATGTTACGATTCATAACAGTAGCAAAATTGCAGTTACGAAATAGCAGTGAAATAATTTTATGGTTGGGGCTCACCATAACACGAACCTTTAACTGTATTAAAGGGTTGCAGCACTAGGAAGGTTGAGAGCTACTGTTCTAAAGGGT